AAGTTGATGTAATTTACCTTGTATTATTACATGTTCTTACCCTTTTCATCAGTATATATTTCATCACTGACGTCGTACACAGTCTGCTCTGCCTGTTCATACTCTTTCTCCTTCAACTCTTCTCCGTCAATAAACGCCATCCATTCTTGGTGTTCTTGTTCATTTATGACGCCTTTCTCTAGGCACGTTGTAGCCATATTTCGGATTCGTTGAAGGTCGACCGCTTCGAATCTGGGCATTACAATTTCAGGTATCCCTTCCGGTTCTGTTTTTAATATGACCAACGGTTTGTATTTTGTCCTGTCGAATTCATCTAAAAAGATTATAAGGAGACTGATGCACCAACCTGGATAACTTTACGGCTAAAAAATGTTTTATCATTTCGACTAACCTTTGCTCCATCCTTTAAAATCCATCTGGCATTTGCCTTTATCGTTTCTGGTGAACTTGAAGTGATGGAACTTCAAAAGAGAGTGGACTTGGTGCATATGAGGAATCAACCATTCTCTAAAGGCAAAAATCTGGTCCATTTCAGCATATTGGATCCTTGCACCTTCTTGCGTCACCTCTCCCTGTGTTTGCCTATAGCATGTTTTCAGCAATTTTAAAAGGTCTTGGTAAGTAAGACATCCTGATCGCTTGATTGCCACAGAAAGTCGAGAGAACATTTGATCGACGTCAACATGCGTATGTCCCTTTGGAAGAAAGCAAACTTCAATCTGAAAGAGAACAAAAGCGATATAAGCTTTACCTTATACTGGTGCTTTTCATGATCCTGTGAAATACATTTTAGAGTTTTACACTTTATTACTCCTTATTTTGCACATTATGCATGTTTTTATTAATGAATAAAAAAGGGGTTTTCAATTAAATCCAAAGTTTTATCCTTACCTCTATTATTCTAATAGTGATATAAACCTGTTAATACTCACCTTGTCGAAAATACATGTTTCCACGAAATATGCCACCAATGCAAAGACAAACTGATTTTTGTTTTCCTTGTAAGTGTTGGATAAAAACTTTCTTAGGTAAAAATTCTCTGTGCAACCAGAATGTCTAAAGATAATTCAAAGAATCCTTATGACGACATTTAGTATTTTTCTACTACTCTTTAACAAGACTTCGAAAATTATGACACCAAATCAGAACCTTTTTGAATTTACACAAGATATATACCTGTGCGATGATATTGCATGTCAGATTGGAATCATGATCGTGCTGCTGGTAGTCCAGGTAGCAGATTGGATGCCTCCCATGTATTAATGTACCTACAACATGTACGTTGAGTTTCCAGGCTGTGTCCAAAGTTTTAAAACGGAGCTTGGAAAATGGTAGTTCGGTCTTATTTTGGTCCATGCCGTCAATAGCAATGGAAAAGAACTCTTGGGGTTTTCTGTGCGCTAAAGATCCTCGATCCAGGTAGCAGTTTCTTTCTCTCCTGTGAGCAATAAACGTTATCTGAATGTCATAGTATGTCATTACGTCGATATAGGTGGTCTCTATATCGACTATTTAATACGACGGTTTATTTGAATTTTTAATAATAAATTTAAATTTTATCGACTCGAAAGCTTCTGTTATTGTTGTAATTCTATTGGGACTAATTTTTGAAAATTTTCACTGTATATAGAGGGGTTTGAAAAGCCTTCAAAGATTCACTCGAATGAACTACTTTATTCTAGTTGTCATAACAACGACCTGTCATTGAGAACTTCATAATAGATTATCAGCCGTTGACGTTCTTGTCAATTTACAACAACTCTTATAATTGTATTTTACTGATCGGATGTCAAAAGCTTAAATCAAATGCAGAAAATATTGGAATAACAATTGGAACGTGGAATTCACGGATCGAGTGGTCGAATTGTTAGCCAAACTATGCTGAAAACACCAAATACAGACATTTTTTCGACCACGGTCTATCACCTCCGATTACTAAAAAAGATTAACTAACCTTACGAATATCCTGTGGTTGGTTCGTCGTGTTTCTGTTGCCGCCCTGGCCTTGCCTCTTAAACTTAGAAGCTCCTTTGTTATACTGCAGCAGGTGTCACATTTGCTGAAACGGTCAGCCTGTCCAAAATAAGAGAAAACATTTAAACCTGTGTTGAAAAAAGATGCTTAAAAAAATGTAATACAATAAATCAAACATTAAAAAATTAACTATAACAAAACCTACTACCTTCGGGATTTTAACATGCGAAAATTGTTGTCTCCATAATTTTACAAAGTTCGTCTTTGAGCAGCATGGTTGACCTCTCGCACAAAGTGATTGCAGCATTTCTTTGTATACGTCGTCCTTGCTAGAACTGGATGGCAAATTCCACACATCACTCGTTGGAAGATAGTCACAATTTTCGGTAAAAAATTGCTCCAAGAAATGAAGGGCAGCTTCTGTTTTAGGATTGGGTTTAATGGTTAAGGCTGCACCGTGGTCTGGATTAACTCGACCTTTTCCGAAATCTGCTTTCCAGCTAAAAAATGTCGACCGAGGAATGCCTAAAACCTTTATCCATGCTTTCCAGCATGTGGGGAGACCAGATATTGAGTATGCGAATTCGCCTGGGAAAGGTTGGTTGGTTTCAAACCAGTTCAAGGCAAACTCACGTTGATGGCGATAAGTTGGATGTTTCAATCGAAATAGTTCTCTAGCCTTCTGCCTTTGTGAATCACTCAATCTGCTTGCAAGACATTTTTCAGAGCAACAAGATTCAGTAGCGAGATCTCTTGGGTCTTGGATACTACTACGGTGCTTGCCTGTGGAAAGGAAACTAAAAATGTAAACATTTCATATATCTTAATAGCGTTCTAAAAGAAGCAAGCACTCAATCAAGGATGCTACCGGTAAAGCTTAAATTGGTTTATTCTATCAAACGGTCTCGCACGCTCTAACTCCGTAAACTTAAGCTAATTAGCACTTAGGGATCTGTCTTTACGTAAAAACTTCATAAACAAAACGAAATAATAATTTTTTTGTCTTGGTGGACTTTCTGGTTCGGAATTGCTACTTCCTTTAGCCCGAGATGGCATTTCTTCCAAATCAGATAAGCCTGCGTCTTCTCCTTCGATGCTTGACGAAGAAGAACTGTCTACTTTAAAATCAGAGACATGCTCAGCAGCTTTGTCTCTGGCAACATGATTATCGCTTATTGGAGAAGACCACTTGTGCGTTAACGGTGATGCTACTACATCATTTATAATTTCCGACTCCTCTCCCTCTATTTCGTCGTCAAATTCTTGCGTTGGTGAAAAGGCGCTGCTGACGTCCTCAGAAATATCTTTCTCCCCTTGTTTGTAACTTATCTCAATGTCTTTTTCTGCCTCCTCTCCTTCTATTTCACTGTCGCAATCACTTGTCGCAAAGCTTATTTTCTCGGGTCTTTCGTCAGTAGAAAGATCCTCTTTTGATGTGTTTATCCTGTGCCGTTTTAAGGTATCACATCTAAATAACGCTTTTTGCTCTGGTGCATTTAAAACTAATCTTTGGTCTCTTACAGTGAATCCCTCAAAAGGCACATCATCTTCGCCATCACTGCTATGAGACCTCGCTGCCATTTAGCCCGTGCCGGTAATAATAATAATAATTTAATAATTTATATAGCGCTATATAGCAATGTCAGATCAACAGCGGTTGACCTAGATGACCAATGCTACTGCACGTGGGTAACCCTATTCATATTGCATCTAGCGGGAAATGACATGTCCAGTGCAACGTTTTAAAAGTAGAGTTTATTCTGGAAAGTTGTGTAACTTTGGGTTTGGTCATGACGTGCATGACTTCCGTGATCTTTATCGAACCCAAACGATGTACCTGTTGACCTTTGATTGACAAACGCTTCCTTTTATAGTAAGAGTCTTTTACAAAAAAAAGTATTGTAACTTTTCAAAAAGTAATTTTATAGCGCTAAACTCACGGACCCCAAAACCACTTATCTTGTAAAACCACTCCCATACTATCATGGTGTAGTGGTTATTAAGTTATTCACTTATATCCTGTTCCGCCAGATAGCATTCCTCAGTTATCTCGCCCATATWRAACACTATATATACAATAGCTATAAACTCTTGTAAACTATCCCTGATGAAGACTGTGTAGACAGTCGAAACGCGTAGGATAATAAAGTTTACTAAAGTTTACACTCCGTGCTGCTCACTAGTTATTTTTCAAAAAATTATTAATTAACGCTCTTGCACGCTCAACATCTTTGATCGCTAATGTAAAGTTGTGTAACTTTGGGTTTGGTCATGACGTGCATGACTTCCGTGATCTTTATCGAACCCAAACAATGTACCTGTTGACCTTTTGATTGACAAACCCTTCCTTTTATAGTACGTGAATTGTAATAAAAAAGTCTTTTACAAATAATATTTTAACTTTTCAAACAGTAATTTTATGGAAACACTCCGGGTACCATCGAACAATTTTCAGACATCTTTTGTACGATAGGCTGATAATTGTTTTTTAAAATTTCGGGTCATTAGCATATCATTAGCATAATCATATAACGATTTAATCTAACTATCAGTAAATAAGGACTGACTATTGAAACAACATAGCACAATAAGCATTCCTCGCAATTTTGAGTTTGTGAAATACTTTTTGCGTCAAACCGTATTAAAAACTCCAATTTTTAGTGAAATTATATGAGCTTTTTTTGAACTTTTGCCACTCAGTATCTATGAACGTTAATATCTCTACACTATTGCATCTAAAGACCTCAAACGTTCGTAGTTAATAGTTCTTAATAAGGCCTTTTACGCTATTTTACATTTTTTTTAATTTAAACTTTATGCTAATGAGCAAAATTTTGTAAACAAATGTTCGCCTATATTTGTCATGCAACTTCAACTATCCCACAAAATGCAAGAGGACAATAACTCAGGGACGTTGCAGCGTTTATCCTGTTTGTGCGTGTGTGGGAGGAAAGCTATGAACCAGATTTTGTGTATGGTTTTTAAAGCCGCGGGTTTGGAAAAATACTTTGACTGTGTTTCTCATGATGCAGGTAGGTTTAGAGATTCTTTAAATTGCTAAACCTGATTATATAAAGACAAAATCATAACGAAGTTTGTTTGTCATGTTTAGGGCTGAAGGGGGTGTTATAGCCCCTAGGTCCCTTGCAAATACATCATATCTAATGTTCAATCTTTTGAATGACATGTCCTCAGCTCGTTTACGACCAAAACGTGCGTTTCGTAACACAATTGCAATGCCAGTTGTTTTACGTGGATTGTTTTTTAAGCCACCCCTTTCCGGCAACAACCTGAAGAGGAAAACTAAAGAGGAAAACTACGTTTCCGAAAATTTTGAACATGACGTAATCATGTACTTAGGTTGTGAGCATATATATATGTTACCCTGAAAAGAACGCAGCATTCGCCATTAGCGTTGTTCACTCGTGTGACTCTGAGCAAGCTATTTAATCTATTGGTCTTTACTCGAATTAGAAGTCTTTTTTACTTCAACGGCAATGTATAGGGTGAGTTACTTTGGTCGTTTCACAATGAAAATACTATTTTACGCCAGCTTACTTAGTTTTCACCGTTATTGCGCGTATCTTAGATGAAAAAGAGCGCTGATGCAAAACCACAGGAAGTCGGAGATGGTCCTTGGTTCCTAAAGAAATCAGATGAAGATGGAATCTTTGTTAAACAAAATGGGACACGCATGCTTTCCTCTAACGGGCAATTGCTTGGGAAGATTCTTAATGTTTCCGTACAGCCAAAATCTCGAGGCGGCGACTCAATATTGGTATGTTTACTATATAATATTTCTATTGTGAGCTTTTGCTTTACCAAATTGATACAATCCTATTTACAAGTGTTTTTATTATTTCTGTACTCGTCTAAATATCCAAATTATGACTTGTGAAATGCAAGTTAATTTTCTTTTTCGATATACATCTTCGTTGCACTAGATTGATCGCAATGGACTACGGACACGTCTTACTCATGTATTTTTGTTTATGTATTTAGGTTACATGTGAAAATTTGGCTGCAGTAATGGGACAGACATGTTTGCTACTAAAGCTTAATAGCTTCGATCCAAATGGATCAACTTTCTCAGAAGCGTTTGAAGGCCTGAAGACCGCCGAAGAGTTCGTAGAGGCGTATAGAAAATGCTCTGATGGAGATGATCAGCTGAAACAGACGCCGATATGTGAGACTCCTAGAAGTACCAAAACCCAACTTAAACCAGTTGGCTTGGGCAAAAAAAAGCACAGTGGCACGAGTATGGAAACCTTAGCGGAGCTAATTTCCCCACCCAAAAAACAACGCGGCAAAAGCTTTGATGACGACATCGCCATGCATCATCTAGGTATTCATTAGTTATGTTCGTTTATGTATTTGTTCATATTTATCAGTTTTTGTTTTGGTTTCTATATCTTTTTGTACAGTTTTTTAGAGTTTTGTACAATTACGATGACTTTAGTGTCGTAAATTACAACCTATTATGATGTCAGGAAATAAAATTGTTTATTATTACATTATTACTGTCAATAGTCATGAGATCCCCCATGATCCAACCCCAATTTTTTTTATAAATGCGGATCGCTAGATTTGTTCTTCCACATTTTTAAGCGATATTAATATGTTCTTTAATTCCTAAGGAAAATTCAAATTAAAACTGGACATGCTATCTGACTGCCCAGATCATTGGTTAGACCGTCCGGTGGATACAGATGCAGTCCAAAATCTGATCGAAAAGATCAAAGAACATTCGTCTCTCCAGACAGAGACACAATCGTGGCTAGCGGTTACAAATTTTAGCAAGTTGGACTTGGCTGCAGGTCAGACTGTCAAAGACTTGTTAAACGGAAGCGATATACGAGTCATTGGAGGTCGACATCGCCATGCAGCTTATAAGAAGGTGATTTCCTGAGCTTCCATTAGATTCATTGCTCAAAAATATATTCTTATCCACAAATCGAAAGGAAAAGTAATATTTGAAGAACTTATTTTGATCGACAAAAATAACGACTTGTTGTATTTTGTTCTCTAGTTAACAGAGAAGAAAAAAGATGCCATTGATCCCTCTCTGTCAGCACGGCTAGATAAGGTGTGGGTGTCTGTTTACGACGACAAGTTAACCGACGAACAAATAAAAAGGCTTGCTTACATGCATAACTGCATCGATGAGGGAAGCCGAATTACTCCCTGGATAGACCGTGTAAAAACATGTAGAGCCTGGGCTTATCGTTTGGCGAAAAGAGATCTTGACGAGCCAACCCCTGACACTTCATCAGAATGGCGAAAATCCTGTCACAGGATGTTCGTAAGTTCGGAAAAGGTGGGTTTTCGCCAATTATATACGATAAAAAAAATAACAAAAATTATACATAAAATACGTCAAGTTTTGTAAAGTTTGTCCCAACGTAACCTTTCTTAAAACTACTACAACATGGGAGAATAGTTAATTTGCAAGGAAAATTTTGTTCCTTTTATTGTAATTGTTTTTTGTTTTTTTTTCAGGATGTTGCCAGTCTGGAACCGACACTCCAGGCTGCACTACTTGCCAAACCAGTCTGGGAGAAATTTGTGGAAGTTGCTGATTTGTATAAAAAATCAAAACTAAAAGACATGGTGGAAAATAAACCATCAAGAAGGCGAAGTATGGATATCAAACAGACACAGGTATACAAAAGGACTGCACGATTTTTTAAGTCCTTATTGGACACTTTTAGATTAACGTTTACTGCCGTAAACGCGTATCTAAAACTCAGACTCTATTGAAGCAAAAAAAACGCAGTGAAATCGCAGCCGAAAGTAGGCGCATCTCATGTGAAGCTTGTCGGAAATGCGTGACCAGGGAAATGACATATTCCATCACGATAGATAATGTTGATAATCATCAAAAAGAAATGGGAAACTGAAGTTAAGAAGTTTCGAACGTATCTCAATCTCTCAATTCACTCGCTTGAAAAAAACCCTGATTTTATTATCATTACCATCTTCTTGTCTTGTTTTGTTTCATTGGAAGACTACAGAAGACACTTATATTTCTCAAAAGTCGGCAAAAAAAACACATTTTATAATTATGATACTTTCACATAAAACCTGAAACAATTCGAAATAAAAAAATGACTATTTTTCTCATTTTCCTGTTTTTTTTTGTTTTTTGTTTTTGTTTTAGATTGGAATGCCTCTACAAGGACTTGATCAGCAGTCCAAGCTAAATCTGCTGGGCCAGTTGGTGGAAAAAAAAATTTCCTTAAAAACCTTTGTTGGAATGGCAGCCTCCATTAAAAATAAGAAAAAAATAGCCGAGGCATTCATGCAGTACAGTGGAACGCAGTCCTGGGAAGAGCTTCAGAGAAGATTTCCTCGCCATGCAACAGAGGAAAAGCTCTCCCAGTTCAGCAAGCTAAAAATCAAAGGGAAAGCAATCCCAATGGTAAGTAATTTGTCGAACGTAGTTATTCAAAATGGAGTCCTGCTTACAAATTCACTCTTTTTTTAGGAGCTGGCGAACTTCTTTCAACGTGCCATGGAAGTAGAAAGTCAATCCAACACGGAAGAACTTCTACGCCTGAACGTTGAAGGCGAAAAGGGGGTCCATTTTTTTAAATGCCCCGAGAACGAAAGTGTGGGAGTTATGCTTCCTGGTGACTTCTGCAGTTTAAACCCGTCTTTAATAAGGAGAGCAATACCTAATTTCAAAGGATTTTCACTGTCCATTGTCTCTCTTAATGTGGTGAGTCATAAAGAATTTCAAAAGTAACGATTGATGTAATGCTAGGTAATTTTTTGAATATAGTACATCATCAAGATATATATCTTGTTCCATTCCTCATTCGCTGATTCATTAATTGTATTCAAATTGATTATTAACGTTTTTCTGCATCACTGCCTAATCTTACAGGATGTAGATGTAATTTCGCTGAAAATGTTTTTATCAACTCTACATTCGCTGAATGTAAATATGGACTGCTACAATGTCATCTTCCAATTACCGAATTCTGAAGAAATACACAAAGTCAAGAGCCAGATGGAAAAAATGAGTGTTACTCAGTTGGCTTACTTTGCAGCTGATGTAAACCCGAAGGCGAAAACACGTAAGTTAAAATCCTGTAAACAATTTCGATAAATAATAATAAATAAAAATAAATAAATAAACAAAAGGTAACAAGAGGTGACTAGTTTTGTACTATATCTTGCGCCTAGCTCGGTTCCTCGGTCATTTGTAATGCAAGGTTTAGGCAAAGCTACAATTCTTTCGTTAGCTGTAAAAAGAAAGAATTTAAAATATTACGAACATAGGTAGATTATGAGTGAAACAGCAATAAATTCATTAGCGTTAAACGCGGTCACATGTTCAACTGTGCTTCGAGAAGATAGTAATGATTATAACGAAACCCGAGACACCCCTCTCTTTCACATTTTGCCTTCACAATGTTTTCACTCATTGTCTCTTTAAGAGTTCCTGTTCACTTGAGGCATTAAGATTTGTTTTTTAATTTTATTTTCTCTGCATTTTAGCAACCGCGCGTCTCCAAAATGTAGTCTCACCATTAGTTATCGGACAATGGTCGAGGTATGGGGAGCCGATGGAAGGAAATTTAATTGGAGCCAACCACTCCAATCTGTTCACCGCGGAAAACGGCCTAGATAAAATGGTCAACGTATTTACGTTTGAGGGAAGTTGGGTTTTGGATCTGTCATCGATTTTTGAAGGTAAAATACGTTTAACTTTATAAAAGTCAACGAAATTATTTCATGCTCTCTCCCCTTCTCCACTACCGCAGTCCACCCTTCTGTAAAAAAAATGGAATAGTGTTCAGGATTTAGAGATACCAGCGGAACATCCCGCGTCTGAATCTATGTCACGGGCCTCACATGGAGCAAATGTCATGTATTCATTTAATAATTGCGTTTAAAGTGCACATCACCCCTAAAAATGGAACATTTTGAACAAATTCTATAAAACATGAGCTTTCAAATGATGTATTTTTGAGCTCAGTTAGATAAATTCTGAGCGAGATATTTGAGTTTGAATGTGCGCTTTTGGGTAGCCTGTGTTAGGTTGGAAGTGGGTCGAAGGTCAGCTGTGACGTCAACTTAGGCTTACGGGCATGCGTATTCGGCTCAAAAACATCTATCACCTACTTGAGAAAGCTTGACATTTATTTACTTCGAAGGGAATATTTTTACTTTTTTATGCAATGGCTTTTCGATGTTGTGTCGCCAACTTTATAGAAAAACTTTATTTCAAATTCCTTTTGAAAAAGACGAGAGAACAATGCCTATAAAAAGCGAAGACAAGCCAGGATTGACTTTGTAGCTSCTTCGAATCTTACGTCGACTAAGTTGCATTCATCGCATCGCAACGCATCAGTCGATCTCTTTAAAACATTAAGCTTCAAAAACATTTTGTAACAAGAGTGCTGTACAGTTTTGTCCACATAAGCACCTAGTGATACAAAAAATAAACATAAGTTTACAGTATAATTTAATGTCCAGGAAGCGTAATCAAAGCTCGTGCGTTTTGAGAAACTTTTCTTTGTAATCTAGTCTTTGCTATAATTCCTTACGAAGATTTTCTTCGATCTCCTTTTTCTAATAGTCTTCAAACCGTACTTATTCAGCTAGCGGCTCTCCCTCGAACGGCACGCAACAATCGTCGATGTCTCAACGTTTTCGCATTCTTCGTGGTAGTTTAGCGGCAATGTTACGATACCAGGAATATACTTG